CCAAATGTGTCTACCGTATCTTTGTTGTGAAAATATACTGAAGCATTTAGATAATAAAACCATATTGTTAATTTATAAGCAGTACATCCATAAGCTCCAAACTGATAAATGTTAGGGAATTTATCAATATTACAAACTATTATGTTTAGTTTCTAAAGATTTTTTGCTTCTATAAATTGTCATCATTTTTGTATTTATTAGATTAAATAAGCATAGGACTCCAAAGGATGGAAAATATCAACTTTATTTATATAAGTTCAGTAAATTTTTATTTAATCGTCATAAAGAATTTACCCTGAACCAGGACAGTGATATAAAAAGTGTAATCGAAGATGGTTTAAGATGTTAATTAGTAAATGTTAAGGATACAAATGTTACTTTGTAAGTGGATATGAGTGAGGTAAAATGAATGTTAAATTAATTTTACTGAATTGAAGTAATTTAATAAAAATGGCTTTGCTCAGAAATAAAATCAAAATGCAATAGACTTATTGAATTTACTTTTGTGATAATTAACTGTCAAACATTATGCTTTAACGCACTTCTCGATCAATTTTATCATTTGCCTTTGTGAGTAAACAACTAACTCTTAATTGAATGATTATAACTTCTACCGAAAAATTGATGAGTTAAAATAATCATAAATTTAAGGATAATTTAAACATTTTAATAATTAATATAATTAATAATGGTCATTTAATATTTAATAAATTTAATATAATCATGCATAGGAATTGGATCAATAAATTCAAGATTGCATTGTTTTTTTCACTTCTTCGATTTCTATTTATAAACTTTGAATTTCTACATTTAATGCTACAGCGAGACATTCAACCTCGTACAACATTATTTGCTCTCATTATAGTTTGTAGTAATAAGAGGTGTCTTCGGACATGACGCAATTTTTGTTTATTTCCTTCTTAAATCATCTTATGTTTATTAACTAAATTACCATGGTTCAAAGTAACATTTTCTATTGTCTACGAAATAAGAATAAATATGTTAAATGTATTTCTTTCTTGTTATAATTTTTAGGTTCTTGGCATGGTTTTTGTAAAATAAAATTTTTCATAAAATGTTTTATAAGTACGTGTTTCGTTTGAAAAGTTATAATATGCGATTTACCTTATATATTATCATACGTTTCGCATTGATAGATATTATTACAATCTTTTTCCTTGTTTTTTTTCATTACAAATAACATGCTTAATATTGCGGAAACGAGTGTAAGAAAAAAGCTAATGATTGGAGCGAAATATGAAGAGACACACTCTTGCGTTATCTATAACTCTAATCGATTTAATTATTGGGTACTCGTTGTTCTTTGGATATAACGCGTTTTTTAATTTTAGAAACTATATGATATACACCTATTCACATCATTTACACAATATTAATGAAAACACAACATTGATAGCATGCATATAATAACGGCTTTTTCGAGAAAATTACTAACGCAAAGTAAATTCATAATTATTTCTAAGTTATGTTCGTCGTCGCACTCATCACATTTGTCTGCACCTCGTAAACGTGCACTTTTTTTCTATTGAATATAATGATTTAATAATAATTATCCATACCATAAGTACTTTTCTTTTCTTCCGTTCACTAATGTCTTTGCCTATCTATTAATGATCGTTTATTTACAAAGAGTGGCTTTGAAACCAATTTGAAATTTGATAACTTGAAAACTAATTTCTAAATAATTTTCACTCTTAGTATGCAATTTTTTATTTTAAAACATGTATTTCCTTTACATTGTGTAACAAGAACAATCCGGCGCCTATTTTTTTTTTTCAATACGCGATTTAATTAATTCACAAAGTGATAGCCTAAAGCAATATGTTTCTAATACTAGAATAATAAACTCTTATTTAAATGCATATAACATAACTTAGAATAAAGTTTTTCATTCATATTGCTAAGTATATTTTCTTTTAATATCATTTTACATCAAAAAATGATTTTTTAAATTCGATTACATTTTCAATTTATTAAAATGCTTAACCATTTCGTTAAAAATTTTAATAAAAATGATAATTTATATGATAACAGTCACGTAAAACAACAGTCTCTCAATATAATTCTAAGTGAAATCTCCATTCCGTAAACTTATAGAGCCACCATATTAATTTTATAATTTAAAAAGAGATCCATCGCTCATAACTTTCGATAAGTAGAGTTTCACTCATAAAACGATGTACATTCAAATTTTCGAAGGGTTAATGAGTGATAATGCGATGGAAATTTTAATTGGAGTATTGATCGGTTTCATTCATTTTGTTTTTTTTTAACAGCAAGATTTGTATAAAAGTATCAAGCAATGTGATGATGATGTTGACTGTGCATTTATTGTTATTTTATTGTTCACTTTTATTATTACTTAAAAAATCGACGATTTATATGTAATATAGCTTTTTGATGCTCTAAATCGAATCTAGCTATATTAATATTGGGTTCATCGAAATTTTATCCTTGGCATCGTTTATTGAGATGATTTTTTACTGAAATTGAGTTTTGCACAAAATTTTTTAAAACTTTATTTGCGAAGTAGACGTGCTCTTGAAAGGTATATAAGTGATGCTTTACCATTTCATAAAAATGCTTTTTCCTCATTAAAGTTCTTTTTTTTTGCTATAAAATATGACTGATTAATACCAATTATTCGTACGTTAGAAATGTGATTTTAAAACTTACTTATCATATACATTGTAGTTTATATGCGATTCAATATATTATGTTTCTTATTTATAATATTTATAAAAATTTATCAAAGAGAAAATCGTAATTATTTAAAATATTCACAAACAACTATTACACGCACTAAACTTGCTATTTATGTACATTTGTAATCGCAGGTTCGCATCTCATTTAATTCGCTTACTAATTTACGATCGACAATTAATTTTGTATAATTAATGAGGAGAAATTCAATCGTTATGATCCGAAGGGATCGAAACGTTACATTTTCATGACTTTTGAAAAATTGTTTTAAAAATCGTCTTTACATTACAGTATTATTTGCGCGACTATATATCATATCGTTACATCGATTTTATTCGTTAAATCAAATAATTGGCACATTAAATCAGAATTGATGTTCGGTTTCTCCCTTTGGCATTGAACGTCTAAATGTATGTTACAAAATTCGTATAAAATATTCATCGACCTGGCACTTTTTATTATGCGTATATATTGCGTTTTAAAAATTCTGTCGTAAGCTTCAGTCGTAAGGATCTTTTTCTGTGTTCATTCTGAGAGAAACGAAAGCTTAGAAATGCCTGCCTTTTAAAATTGCTCTGAGATCTTGGGCATACAAGAGCCACATTATAACTTGCTTTTCATTACTTTTAATCCGAGTTCGTCGGTAATTTTATTTGGTCCCTAACGGGGTGTTAAAAATTCAAAGTTGTATCGTATAGATTTCACATCGTGGAACTCGTAGTTTCAGACTTTTTTCAATGGAATATTTATGTATCTCTGTGATTATTGAGTTTGAGCTTGAAATATTTCGTCGCATTACGCCCACCCTTTACGGATTATCTACTTCGTGAATCGTTTTATTTTCATAATTGGAAAAAACGTCTAAAAGTTCGATAAATATCGTTTATGTTTATAGTAATTGCATTTTGGCGCTGTTTTTTTGGCAGTTTCTGTGAGTATTTACATTCATTTATCGTAGATTTTAGTGTTAACAAAATGAGAGAATTGAACATTGATTCCAAGCGGAACATCGAGATATTTAAACAGAAAAAAAAAGAGTCGGTGATCGCTTACAAGATGGTCACGAAGAATTATAATATATTTACAAGAATAGAACGATCAGATGCGTGAAAAAGCTAGCCTGAGCGGCGGGTCTCAAGAATCGTTTCGCCGACTGCTGCTGCTGCTGTTGGCCACTCTGATCGTCGTCGTTCTCGCTGGCGGTGTTGGTGTCGCTGCTGCGCGCCTCGACGATCGTCGCCAGACGCTCGGCGATCGGCAGCGACGGCAGCGTCTGACCGACCACGACAGCTTCGCTCGAGATCGTCGTCATCGTCGTCGTCGTCGGCGTGACATCCGAATCCACCTGCGCCGATACGACCGTGTTGGCGTCCTCGTCGTCGGTCGACGTGGGGGCGTTCGAGCTGCTCATGCAGGCCTGACAACTGAAGCATATGAGATCGGTGTCGTCTGTCTCGGACGACTCGCAGTGTGGACACCGATACTGCTCCAGTTCCAACTGCTGCTGCTGCTGCTGAAGCTTCGCGTCCTCGCACTCGACGCAGACGGACGCCGACGAGTCGTACGAGTCTTCGCGTTCCAGCTGGCCGTGAAGTGCCTGTTTTTCATCGAAAGCGGATTATTAGTACGGGTTAATCGTTTCGATGTAGGGAATAATGGAGTTGTGGTAACCGTGTGTATGTACAGTACGATTAGAGATAGTTTTAAAATCCATGTCACAAAAATATGTAAATTAAAGCAAATATCGGAGTTGAGAATATTTGTACAAGTGAAACACGTCAATTTGAAAACGAGTTCTAGGGCAAAAGTTTTGAAAAAAATAACAAATGAAACATCGACGAACGAGGATTTACCAAAGTAGATCGAATATAAACTTACACATAGGTATCAATGATAAATTGTAGAATTATGAGCTGTTAACATTGTGCAAAGGGCGCGATTGTTAATTTGTACAAAAAAAATATCGAAAAATCGATATAGCAAACCATCGATGTATAATCAAAGAGAGAGTCACACACAGGGTTATATAATATCAAAGTATATTACAGACAATCAGAGACAACAAAGTTATTATCATTACATACAGCTCATTAATAATTTTACGTACTTTCGATTGCGCGCGTGTGCGCCGTTTATGTGCGTGATACACGATCGAGCGTGTGAAAACGTGTATTACTTTTTTTTCGGTGTGTGTTTCGAGAGTCTTAATTCACGTGTATAAGCGACGGAGTCGATGCGCTTTGCGTTTTAAAAGTCCATCGACCACGGATGCTTATTGTGCAGGTCTTGCAATCGGCGCTTCCGCTAAACAACGCACAATACGACGAATTCGTGTCAGCGTGATATCATATTGTGTAATTTTGCGCGGCGGGTACGATAATAATAATAATCAATTGCGACACTCACACCGCCGGCCTGGTAGCGCTGCTGCTGCTGCTTGTCGATGTGATAACGGCCGGGCGTCATCAGCAGTCCGGGCTTATTGGTCGTCGTCGTAGTCGTCTTCGTCGCTCCTGGAACGTCGCACTCGCTGCACAGCAGTAGATTGGCTTTGCTGCCCAACAACGCACTGGACTCTCGACGATGATGAGGATGATGATGATGATGATCGTACAGGCCGAGAAGCAGCGCCTCGTTGGTCGGACACTCGTCCTCGTCGTCGTCGTCGCTGTCGAAGAGCCTCTGGCTGAGGCTGCCGATCGACTTGCTGTCGGCGTCCGCTGCGTGCGCCAATGATTCGCGTTTACTCTGCTCTTCTTTCTATATATCCAAAAATAAAACAAAAAATTTAATATCCATCCTCGAAAGTGCGACACACACGATTCTCGTACCGTCTGGTCGTGCAGGTATCGCCGTATACGGTCGAGCCGCGCCTGACCCCGGGCCGTCGCCGCCACCAGGTTGTTGCCGTTGCCGTTGTCGTTGTTGCTGCAGGCGCCGCGCTCCTCCGCACGCGGCCCGGTCTCTCGTTAAATGATGCTCTCGCGATTGCGCTCGTTGTCCTCGATGCTGGAGGTCGAGCTGCCGCCGCAGATCTGCATCTCGATCTCGGCCAGGCGGCTCTCGACCTCGTACTGCTTCTGATTGAGCTTGAGGCTCATCGAGGCGTTCTCGGCCTCGAGACAGACCAGACGGTCGCGCAGACGCTTGATCTCGGCGAGCAGAGGCTCGGCACCGTAGGCGCCCGCGGCTTGAGACAGTTGCTGCTGTTGTTGCTGCTGTTGCTGGACGGGAGTGGTGCCTCCCTCGGCCACCGACGCGCTGCTCAGAAGCTGCGTCGTGCTGTTGTAAGCGATGCCTGATTTCGAAAACAAATATAATTTGACACGTGTACATTTTGTATAGTAGCATTGATTGACTTGCACGTAGAAACATTGAATTATGCATTTAGAAATATAAAGAGAGAGACAGAGAGAGAGAGCAAGAGCCTGGCATATAGCTACACAATATCGAGTTTACATCATGGCTTATTTACTATCTGCGCACATGCACGCGCGCACGAGAATATACATATATTAAATGCAGCTCGCGTTTCTATAATATGTATATACTATATAGCCTATATATATATATGTACGCGAGCTGTTTAAAATGCAATACGTCTAAATAATTAACGACGTAGCTCTGGCGTACGTAATACAATAAAATAGGGAAAACTTTACGCTTCGCTAGAGGCTGACTCGGCTGGAAATTGAATCAAGCTCGCGCGCGCGTATATACAGAACTATATACACACAAATTGATTATACATATACATCGTATACTATATATATATATTTAATGTAACGTTTGCGTTCGGATTTTACGATGGAAAATTTTGAAACGCGGCCTTTCACTGCTGCTACTGCACCCGATGGCGCGCTGCAATCATTTCGTTTTTAGAAGCGTTTCGATGCGTGAAAATGCTACGCACAACCCGCGCGCGCGCGCCAGCGTTTATTTGTACAACATATTATATAATGTACTACGCGCGAAAATCAAAAAGCTCCGGCGCGCCATCGATCGTGATAATTACGAGCGCGAGCTGGAATAATAATGTCAAAATTACAAGCAGCCCGTCTCGCGCGTTCAATGCGATATAACGCGATTTGGGTATAATTAATTTTACGAGTTTTTAAATGATCAATTTTCGAAAAATTTTCCGAGTATCATTATTCATCGTTATTATTAATTTTATTACACAATGTTACGGCCTATACAATAGCTTGTGGGGAGTTTTGAGGGGTTTTGGGGGAACGGGGTGGTCAGAAAAGTCAAAACTCACCCGAGTGTCGAGCGGTCGAGGCGGCGGCTGCCTGCTGTAATCTATGATTCGGATCCTCGCTACTGTGCACGCTACTCGCAGGACTGGTCGGACTGTCGCCTAAAACGCCGGCGGCGTTTCTCAAGCCACCACCACCACCGCCGGTTCCGTGATGACCCCCTGCCATCGCCGCAACCGATCTCGGCGTGTCTGTCAGCGTCACGTGGTGAGCCGGCGTCGTCATCGTCGTCGTCGTCGTCGTCAGGTTGTTGCGCAGCAGGCTGGGCTGATGCTGAACCGAGGACAGCAGTGGCTGGTGGCCCACCGATCTCGAGCCCAGCGGACTGGGATTCGGCGAGAAGGCCGACGAGGCGGAGAGAGGAGGTCCGCCGCCGACGCCGGTGGCGTGCACGTCGAGGGTCGACACCATCATCTCCTCGAGCGGTATGCGGCCGCGCGACTCTACCAGTCCAGGTGTGCTCATGCATCTGCCCATCGCCGCTGTGGATGTTCATTGTTTTTTTTTTTTTGTTTGCTTTCAGTGCGGCTAATGTAATGATTATCTATTGATCTAATCGTCTATCGTGGTATTTATTTCCGACAAAAAAATCAAGTACGTGCATAATTGTCAATTGCGAGTTTCCGTTATTAACCGCGTAATTCGTCAATTTCGGCAATTCCATGAATTTTCTATTAAAGTTTCAATGCGCAGCGCGATGGAATTCTAATTTTGCCTAAGCACACACGCACACACAAGTCGGTCATTTTCATCGTTCAACAATTACAACGCGCATACGCGAGCTTTTGTATACATTGCCAACTCGCCGATTAATTAATTCGACGTATTAATCAAGTATTCGATCGAGTAATTTCGTATTAAACAGCCGAATTGGTTGTATGTATCTTGCGTGCATTTGTACTATATCCACAGAAAAATATAAAGGGTCCAGTTTACTCGAAATAATTTGGAGTAAGTGTGAGAGGTTCATGGTAGATCTTACGATGGCCGTACTTCGACTTATACATCTATTTTGACTTCGCCACTTGCAGGTTTACAGATTTAAAGGTACGCGCCATCTATTGGCGGAAGTTCAAGGTGATATTATCGTATGCATACAGTGGTTGACAACTGATCTGAATTTAATAAAACAATTGAATTTACATTTTCAAGACATTTAAAATGCGCTTAATATTTATAATACATACTTGTAACAAAAAAATACTTCGAGTTAATTGATAGTAATGCATTTTAAAACATTTTAAATGATAATTTCCAAGTCATATTATCAATGTTGAGGATTTCTACCGCAGGGTAATTTATGTAAACGGCAAAGGGTGAACACAGATTTCGCTTCATATGTATTGTGCTCGCGAAGCGAAGTGTAAAATATATGTACACGATATCAGCCGAAGTAAGATGAAAATTTGATTTCGATGCCGCATAGTATAATAAGCTCGATAAATGAGATTGCGCGCCGTTAAATACGTATAATGTACGCCTGTCGCGCGCACAATGAGAAATTAGTTTATCGTTCGTTCTTGTGTACGTGTGTGTGTGTGTGTTGTTTGCACATCTATTAATTGGAAACATTTTTTTTCTTCCTCTGGATCCGATTAATCATTCCGGGACTCGAGCGACGCGATAAATCTGTACGTAATTGTTAATAACTCATTATTCGTTTCATATGACAATGAATATAAAAGCTCGCAATTATACCGATTGCGCATTACAATTTGGCGCGCGAAGAATCGAAATTCGCGCGCGTAAAATATCACCGTTGCCGTTGCAATATATACATTTCATTTTCTCTCTCTCTCTCTCTCTCTTTCTCCGTCTCTGGGGAGGTAAGGGGCTTTTCTCGAGGAAGAGTCATTAATTAGACTCGTTACTATACAATTGGTATCAAGGCTCGAGGAATGCTTGGCAAATACGCGGGTGTCTAATAAATTATTCCTCTGTATATAGCCCCTTTAGTGTATTTACACTAGCTGCATACTGCACACTGTACGTCGCGCTACACGCGCTGCTGCTGCCGCTCGATGTTTGCTGCGACACCCCAGCCCAGCACACGCATGTACTCGCATGTTATAAATTTAGGTCTTAAATACGCGGTTCTTCCCTATATTACGAAAAATAAAATTTTACCTCACCTGCGCATTTCGATGATATAATTTAACGAGCTACCGAATGAACGAACGCGAGGTCTCTCTCGTGCGTGCACTTTTTGTGGACTCCACGACGACGACGAAGACGACGACGACGACGAAGACGACGACGACGACGAAGGAGGAAAAAAAAATTTTTTTAATTTCACCGCGAGAAAAATGCAATAAGAAAGTCGAAAGCTCTTGAGCGTCAAATTTGCGCGCGCGGGCTTTTCGAGTTATAGAGTATTAAGTTGAAATACCGAATAGATGTGAACTTATACATATATGTATATAGCGTCGGTAAAAAAAAAAAAAAAAGAAAATCAGGGACATATAACGACGGTAAGTTGGATGAAAAATGAAAGAATAGTACGCCCGACAGCTTGTAAAATTTTTCAAATTGAAAATGAGAAAAGTTTTTTCCTCTCTCGGTTTTTCTTCGTACAAGCTCTCTCTCTCTCTCTCGCGCGCGCAACGTTATACGCAGCGTTATACTACCAATCCCCCATACATAATTACTCTGTCAAACTGTCGGAGAAAAAACAAAAGTGTACTATAAAAAAAAAAGGGACTCCAATTCCTCGGACACACTTATATCTGTATGATATATATTTATGAATCCCGCGTCTCGTAGTCAATTTTTTTTCTCTCTGCTCACCTACTAACATCATAGGCTTTTGCGGCCGTTTGCATACATCAACGGTGGACAAATTTTTCCCCTTATCTCTGTCTTATATTTTCTCTCTTGTTTCCTCCCTCTCACCCTCTCGCTCGTATATATAACATTCAAGGCTCGCTTGCTCGTGAGCATATGCTCGCCTCAAAAGGAGGCTGTGCGCGTATAACACACGCGCGTTTACGTAATGTAAAGCAACAGGACTATACGTTTTCTCTCTGTCCCTCTCTGCTGCTGCGTATACGTATAAGGCATATTACATGGCAGAGCACGACGAGCTTGCGGCAGCAGCAGCAGCGACAGCTCGACAGCGACAGCGCGGCAAAGGCAGAGAAAGCTAACTGCTTCAAAGACGCGGTAAACGTTCGCCGGCGTTATATATACGATATATAAGGGCGCGCTTGTACCCGGCCGCACGTGTGTATGTATATATTCTACATATACAACGAGTAACTAAGAGAGAGAGAGAGAGAGAGAGAGAGAGAGTCTAGTGCTGTATATACCTACCTGTGCCCTACACGCGAGGCTCTTTTGCCAATCTGTGTTATATATATGTGCGCGCATATACGTATATACATCGTTCAGTGACGCTCGCGCGAGACACCGACGCAAAGAGCTTTTAATTCTCTCTAATGCCTCGTACGTATATAAGTACACATCCACGTACATACATGTATAATGTATAATATGCACTCGCTCCGCAGAGCCGCATAGATAGATAGATAGAGAGAGGGTGAGAGTATAAACGAGAGATGGGCGCAGAGTTAAAGAGAAATTGTACGGAAGACCGAGAGAGCATAGGCGAAGGTAAAACGAAAATTATCAGTGCGCCGGTGGAGTCTTGCATTATTATTAGGGATTTGCAGCGATTACGCGAGAAGCTGCCGCTGCTGCCACTGCTGCTGCGGGCATGTATTTATAATGGTGCCGAAGAAAGGGCTATATGTGTATAGGAGGAGAACGAGGCGCCGGAGTTACAAGCGGAGGCGCGAATTGTACAAATGCGTTGATTAATACGTATAAATCTACCGAGTACTCCTCGCGGTGAGTACTGCGCGCCCTATTTAATGTAATGGTTAAATCTCGAGTTTATGTAATGCTGCTAATACGTTGACCAAAAGATCAATTCGATAAATTACTAATTGAATAAAACATTATCTTAATAATTTCTGTTAAATGAAAATTTATCGACTTGAGCAGTGATTGGTAAGGAATAAAAATTAAGCTACAAATGGTATATTAATTTTTTTAACCCTTTTTTTAATTCTAGTTTCGAGTTGATAACTCATTTTTTAACTCGCTCTAAACCCTCGTGTTCTTTCAGTAATCTTAGCGTTTTTATTCATCAGCTGAAGCTTAAGTCCTTTTCTTTCATAAAATAACTGCTCAAGTATTGCGGAAAATAAATCTAATCCAGAGAAAAAAGAACGCCTATATGCTTTTGATTTTAAAATAAATCGTAGCTGCAATTCATTCAAAATCATTGTTTAAATAATTTAAAAAGTACTTTAACCGTGAAAAAAACTGAAAGAAATAAGTGAAAAAACCTCAATAATTACAAAAATACTCAACCAATCGAGACTCTTTTTTCTTTTTTATAAGAATGAAGCCAAAAGAATTAAACAACGTTAACTCTGCAAGTAAAAATAAGAGCAAGTAAAAATAATGGAGCATAATTCACGATTGAGAAGACTTTTTTCAAGTCCCCGCATACATCGCAAGTATGAAGAGGAAATTGTGCGCCTGCATCAATGCAATTTCTCATCACGATTTCGGTGTTATTTTAATGTCTGGCGAGGGCCGACTGCGTAAAACTAGTCGACGATGGAGGGGGAAATATCGCCAAGGAGCTATTACAATTGCGTTTAGTCTCTTCGCTAATTTGCTAATAATGCGTTCAGTCACTAGCGAAGAGTTTTTGCAGATAATACAAGTAGAAAAGTATAGACCTCTACCTGAAATCGAGATACAGTGTTAGCTACTCGAGTCATACAACCTCTAATATTTTCTCAGCGTGTATCGTGTAAATGATTATCTATCATCAATCGATTAATGGAAAGTAGAGAGGACCAAGTGAGGTATTATTACTTTTTGTGCATAAAATTGTATTTTTTTAAGCGATTGCTTTATCAAAGTTTATTTTTATGAAGGGTGAAGGAAGAATCGAACAATACTTGGCAAGATGTAGGTGACGATAATATTTTTCATTCGGTTGACTTTGATTTCGAAGTTAAAAACGTTGAAACATTAACGTTTTTTCAATCATCGGTGAGTTTAATTATTTCATTTATGTTCTGAATTTCTACGATATAAAACTATTATAAAATTTTAATTTTAGGGAAATGTTATAAACGAGGTTATGTCGTTGCAGAAACAGTTAGATGATAAAATATTCATTGATTCAAAGTGCAGAGACGTTAAACCCGAACTGACTTCTCTATCAACAATCGTCTGTAAAACTGAGTATCAAAGTAGTCCATCGATTGTGAAAATAGAAAATGAGAATCAAATATATGATATAAATGAAAAAATATTTATTGACTTTGAGTGCAAAAGTGTTGAGGTTCAACCGTCATCTTCATCAACAACCATTTGCAAGTTTGAGCATAAAAGCTCAGAACCTATTCTAAAGAAAGAAGACCAAAATCAAATCAATGACTTGAATAAAAATATAGTTGATTTAGGGTACAAAAATATTAAAATTGAACCGACCACTTTATCAACAACCATTTGCAAGTCTGAGTATAAAAGCTCAGAACCTATTGTGAAGAAAGAAAACGAAAATCAGACCAATGACTTGAATAAAAATATAGTCATTGATTTAGAGTGCAAAAATGTTAAACTAGAACCAAATTTTTTATCAACAACTATTTGCAAGTTTGAGTATAAAAGCTCTGAACTGATTGTGAAAAAAGAAGACGAAATTCAGACCAATGAATTGAATAATAATATAGTCATTGAATTAGAGTGCAAAAACGTTAAACTAGAACCAAATTCTTTATCAACAGCCATTTGCAAGTTTGAGCATAAAAGAACTGAACCTATCGTGAAAAAAGAAAACGAAAATCAGACCAATGACTTAAATAAAAATATAGCCATTGGTTTAGAGTGCAAAAAAGTTAAACTTGAGCCAACATCTTTATCGAAAACCGTTTGCAAGTCTAACGATCAAAATTTTGAACCATTTGTGAAAATAAAAGACGAAAATCAGACCAATGCCTTAAATAAAAATATAGCCATTGGTTTAAAGTGCAAAAAAGTTAAACTTGAACCAACTTTTTTATCGACAACCGTTTGCAAGTCGAACTGTAAAAATTTTGAACCGATTGTGAAAATAGAAAAGGAAAATAAAACCAATAACATAAAAGATAATATCTTCATTGTTTTTGAGTGCAAGGATATTAAAACTGCATCTGAAATGAAGTCTTTATCGACAAACATTTGCAATTCAGAGTATAAAAGCTCTGAACCTAATAAGAAAAAAGAAAAGGAAAATTCAATTAATTACATGGACGAAAAAAGTCTAATAATTTTGATTAAAAAGGGATATAATTACAATAATCATTGTCAATTTGAAGTAAACGGAAGTTTGAAACTATCCGAATATGAGAAGTTAAATGTGTTTGCAAAAATTGTTGAACAAAAATCATCATTGCAATCACAAATATGTCGAAAATTATATACAGCAAAAGTTAGTCTAAAAAATCATATCAATGCGATAGATAAAAGCATTAGTTCGTATGAGTCTGAAGCATGCAATGAATCATATTTCTGTAAAAAACTCCAAATTCATTCAAAAGAGATGCATGATAGCGGCAAGCTCTTCAAATGTGACATTTGTCATAAAACATTTGGAAAAAAATTTAATCTTTATATTCACATAAATTCAGTACACAATCGAAGCAAATTTTTTGAATGTGACAGATGTAACAAATCATTTAAAGCAAAAAATGGCCTAAAATATCACCTGATTGTAGTACATGATCGCAACAAACTCTTCGAGTGTGAAATTTGTCACAAATCATTTTCAACCAATGGTTACCTTAAAACACATCTGAATGTAATACATAATCAGAGCAAACCCTTTGAATGTGATATTTGCCATAAAGCATTTGGACAAAGATGTAACCTCAATACTCACGTTAATGCAGTACACGATCGTATCAAACTCCACGAATGTGAGATTTGTCACAAGCCATTTTCAAACAGGCGTGACATGAAAAGACACATAGATTCAGTTCACAGGCTTATAAAATCCTCCGAGTGTGCGATTTGCCACAAAGCATTTGGACACCAGGCAACTTTAAAACATCACATTAAGGCAGTACATATTCTTAACAAAGCCTTCGAGTGTGATATTTGTCATAAATCATGTGTTCGCAAGGGTGATCTCAGAAGACACATAAGAACGGTACACGATCGTATCAAACCTTTTGAATGTAATATTTGTCACAGATTATTTGCAAGTATGAGTCATCTTAACAGGCACACAGATTCAGTTCATGGTCGGAAAAAACCATTCGAATGTGAAACTTGTCACAGGTCATTTGGTCAAATATATCATCTCAAAACTCACATGAATGCAGTGCATTATGGTAAAAAACCCTTTGGTTGCGAAATTTGTCAAAAATCATTTTCATTCAAGTCTCGCCTCAAAGCTCACGTTCTGAAAGTACATTTTGGAGTACACTCCAAGATCGTGAGATAAGTCTGAAGAAATTTCGACGCCATGAAAACATGCACATTGTACAATCAAATGAGTTTTGTACGTAATTGTAAAAAATCTTTTTTGTAATTAATACTTTTTTAATTTAATGAAGAGCAATAAAATATTTTAAACCGTTATCAATTTTTTAAAAAACCTTCTACTCACCTTTCTCACAGTAACTAAATTATAAATAATTCTCTAGTATCTACTACCTGTCGGTAAGCTCATAGAAAATCCTTATCTTGAAGCAAGAATTATTGCAAAACTTTACACGCTGATCTCTTCAAATACTTCCCTTACACGCGGAAATTCTAACAGTTCGAATGGTCGATAAAAAGTTCTGTGAGTATTAACAATTCAGTCTATATGTACCTAATGATCGAAAGGGATTATGTTACAATAATTCCTCGATTTTGAAATATTACATAAATATTGCATTTTTCCGATCAATTACGTTGTATCACTGCACAACATATAAATTCATATTATATGTGTGGATAATTTTCATTCATTTGTGAATGGCCTATCTCCTTTCACGGTTATCGCTAATATTTATATGCACATTGACAAAGAGCTTCCTCCTAAAACAATTAAATTCTGAGAAAAAACCCAGAGATACTAAAATTTCCGAAAAAATTTAAAAATAAGTAATATTTATTATTAGCATGTAACTTTCAAAGTAATCCTCGAATGCTTACTTTGTTGGTCTTGAATTAAAGTTTAATTTAATTCCTTTGTCATAATCACTTTAGAAAATTACTCTAATCCTATCGGTAAAACCGAAGAAACAAAACCAAATTTTTTTCCGATCATTTTAAAACAAAAAGACGATCGATTCGGTCCCAGCCTCGACTCCTCGTTGATATTACTCGCTTCGATTACGGAGTGCTGTACGCGGGCGCGCGTGTATAATGCCGAGAAGCAAACTTTGTCTCGCGCTCATTCGTGCTCCGGCCGATATAGCATTTTATATATATAACGCAGAGAGCCATGCGATCTAGGAACAATATCTCGGCGCGTATACACAGCACTCACGAAGATTATAATATAAGCACACTCGCACGCGCGCGCAGCATTAGATATATAGGATTACAAAGTGGTTTCGGGAGGCCGAAAGTTTTACGATTACTCAAAAACTTTTATTAGTTATCGTCTCGAGTGATTTCTCGCTTCCGGTAAATATTTGCCTTTTCACTCTCCTTATCTCTCCTTCTCTCACTCTCGATATATTGTAGCCCACGCGTTGGGGACTAGCCGATGAATTTACGCGATATATATCTTAGCGACTGTACAGAGAATACAATTCGTACAATAAAAGAAACGACAGAAAAAAATAAGAAGAAGAAGAAGAAAAAGAGTTAAAAAGGGGAAAAAACGAGTGACACTCGAGAAGTCATACGCGCACAAAAGAAAAATACAAAGTAAGCAAGACGTGTCTGGGCGACGACGACGATTCTCGCAGCAGCAGCAGTAGCAGCAGCAGCATACACGAAGCAGAAAAAAGAGAGAGATAGAGAAGAAAAAAAAAGTAAGCGGCAGAGCTCTCTCTATATATAAATGACATATATATATGTGTGCGTGTGTGTGTTAGAGAGAGATAGGAATATAGGTTCACTCACCCTTCTCCAGCGGTGCCCTCTTGTACTTTTCGAGCCTCTTCACGGCTATCGCCTCGAGTCGGACCCGCGCGGCCGGATACTCCTTCAGCACGTCCCACATGTCCTTCTTGCTCAGCACGAAGAGATCGGAGTAGCCGACCGACCTGACGCTGGCTGTTCTCCGGTTACCTGCGTCGATTTAGCGATTTATCGGTTATTATTGGGGGCCTCAGCGCGAAAGCCGCTCGCTCGAGCTCAAGGTGCGTTTCTTTTTTTCTTTTTTCTTTCTTTTTTTTTTTTTTTACTTTTATTATTAACATTTCATTTTTTTTTCTGTTTTTATTTAAGAGATCGAAAAAAATCTACAAATCGTTATAGATAAATTTATGTGAAGCACAATTTTTCATGTATTAAACAGCGATAAAAATAATTGTTGTGTAGTATAATAATGTTTCTGTTGTGTTGAATTTGTGGTGTTTACGTGTGTGTGTAGTATATTCACGGATTTTCCTATACTTTTTTAGATCAAAATTGATAATCACGATTTTTGGGTCCAGGGAAAACTTACTACGTATATTATACTCTGTTCATACTCTAGTGTTCTAAAATTACTCTAGTTATATACTCTCAAAGTATTCCGAAAAAAGTAACATACAAATAATTATATTTACCTTACACCCCTAAAACAGTCTAATTTTATCCAATTAACTGTAAAATCTGAAATTTTCAACAATAATACTCTCCCTCTCGCCTAATGCGGTTTCAAAGGCGATCGAGGATGGTTGGATTTAAAGAAAAATCTTGCAATTTCTGCCACGTCACACAAAACGCTCTCTGCACTCTATGCAATTGCCGCGCTACATAGAGTCGGTGAGATATTCAACCGTATACGTAGGCTCAGCGCGGCTTCTTTTTATCGATTACAGCTCATTCGCCGATGTTTTCTTCGGTAAAAGGCGGCAGAGGGGCACGTGGGAGGAAAAACTTTAATAGCTGCGAGCGCTGATACGCTTGAAGTATATAGCGCTCTCGGGACGAAGGAAAGAGAGAGAGAGAGAGAGAGAACGCCCGTAATCGAAAGTTACGAGCATGGCGCGCGTTATAGGGAAGAGTGGAGCAGGGAAAGAAGAAGAGGAGAAAAAAAAATTCGTCCGAGTAAGTATATTTTGTATGTGGCACTAGTAGTAGTAGTAGTGGCACGAGCTAGAGCGAGAGAGCAAAAAAAAATTTTCTCTTAGCGAATTCACTACCGGGGCGCAGGGTCGAGAGGGTGCGGCAGCTGGTAATTAACGTTTCAAATTGAGAAATTCAGATGGAAATTGTGCTTGTCGTGGTATATTAATTATATTTTCGGTCAAACTAGTCGTGGGCTACGGGTTTTTGCGATGTCTATTTTTTAATTGAAAAAATACGTACGTCAGGACTAATCTAAATTATATTTACAATAACTTTCGTCCATACAAAACAAACAAAAACACCCGACCTGTTCTTTACAATATATCAACTCTGTTAATTAATTCTACGTTCAATTTGCTCGTTCATATCGTACCTCTCAACTACTATTATTATTTTTTTTTATTCATCATCGGTGCTACAACCTAAGTGCGAATTACGATTTAAAATGCAATTGATAAATGTGAAAATGTACACAATATTTTGTCGTCAAATGGATGATTTTTCTATTCTATTAACATTCGTCTATTCAATAATATATATCGTGCTCTTTCAACTGTATTATGGTGAAAATGTGAGTTTTAAACTTGGAGCGTTTTCGTGTACAACTGAATCATAAAAGGCCAACTGTATTATTTAATGCGTCGTTCGGAGTTGGCGAATTAATTTTACCGTCGAAATTCAGCATACGCGGCCAGATACATATATTTTATTTAATAAAATGACTCACGCGTTTCAAGCGCAAGCGCAGCGGCATATCGAACTTTTGCTTAATGTACAATGTTATCACATATGTTTCATAATATAAAAACTTCTGGCGAATTTTCTAGAAAATCATCATGAAGAAATTACACACTTTTTTGAACAATTTTTTTTTTTTTTTTAATAATTACAAGAGAAATTGTATTAATTTAATCTGAAAAAATTTTAATATCAAGAACACTCATTACGTTTGAAATACGAAAGAGAATATAGGTGGTGAGGAGATGTGCATTTTTTAAAAAAGGTTACTTATGCATACGCAACGTTTCCAAAAATTATTAACATGTAAGTGGAAAAAGTAGATTGCATGAATAAGTCAAGAAATCACATGAATTTTCGTAAAGAGTCGAGTTTCGCAACGGTACGACGATGCAACAGATTAAAATACGAAACTGAATAATGAAATTTTTAGATAAATATTTTTATCTCGTTTGCTTCCGAAACACACGGGAAGCAGCTTCGGAAGCACTTTTGAATTAATAAACATAGGCACATATTTACATTACGTAATTATGATTCTCAAATGTATCTAATGCTTCAGAGATAAAGTACAAAAGGTATTATGCAAATTGAATGAAAAACTTTTAACGTCGACATAATGGAACACTAGCTTTTTCCGGAAAATTATATTTTCAAGAAATTTAATTTGAAAATTGCTTCTATTCTTGATTTTTTACTCTCTACTTTTGAATTGCACGTTCAACTGCGCCATTGACGCAGCGAGTGTGCGCGAAAAGAAAGGAAAAAAAAAGAAGTTTAATTTCCTCATGAATATTTGCATCTTATAATAAATTGAGAGGTACTGATCCATTACTTTTCATGTTACGAGCATGCCCTACGCAACAAAATATTTTTTTACAGGTTTCTATCTATATATAGCTATTGTCCATGCATATAGATGTCGAGACTACGTCAGTAAAGAATGAGAAATATAGGTGGTAAGTGCGCGTTGAAAAAAAAAGAAGAAGAAAAAAGTAGGTGTAAGGGAAACTTTTCCCTCGCTTCTAAATATTCATTTATTCAATACATAATTTAATAGACAAGACTAATCGACACTATAAAGCAGAGTTTATATTATAAGAGATTGTTGTGAGCAATAATATACAATATACATGATTCAAACGAACTCGAGAGTCGAAATAGTTTTTTTGGACATTACGTAATACATGAGCGAGACAAGATAAAAGGAAGGAGGCTCATACTTTTTGTGTGTCTGTGTCAGTAGTAGTAGTAGTAGTAGTTGCAGTAATAGTACGACGTGTTCGTGAAAAAGCTACGTGTAAATAGCAAATAGGAATTTTTCATGTGGGTAGTACCGTGCATCTTTTTTTTTGCAGACATTACGAAATCACCTGTGTATTATGCACTATGTATAATAGCTACTATATTGCAATACCATAAAGTCAAAGCTAATGGTGGCAGTAGACACGTATAAAGGTCAAAAGTGTAAACGTACCGAACGAGCAGCGCAATTGCCCGGGCCCTTTTTGCACTTGCTCACGAGCCGAAACGAAACTATCATACATAAGTGAGCGGCAGTATAAGCAGCGTATGCTGTGTTTTTTTTTATTTTCAACCTCTCTCTCGCGCGCGCGCGAGCTTTGATTTCACACGCGATAAATTTCAATGCTCGTGAAGGATTTCGCGTCGCTGCTCGTTAGACATGTTTTTTTTTTAAATTTATTTTCATGGCTATATATGTTTATTTTACTTAGATAACTAAAGTAATCGACGGGTTTTTATTCAGGGTATAGTTTTTGGCTGCGCATACAAGATATATAAAAGGATCGATCGTGTGTGGGTTGGGTGGGTGGGCACAATACGTTCTAATGTTGACAAAGGACAAGGCTACGTTTGTGTTTGCGGAATGAGCAATTGAATTAATTGATCCCGAATAATGGGCTTTTGCGTCGAACACAGGGTATATATACGTATGGGCGATAAGGGATTTGGACGGTGTAACTGCACAAATGGAACAGAGAGCGGAGAGACAATAGCTTCTACGATAAGAGAAGGAAGGAAAAAAAGAAGAACGAGTAGTTTTTTTTTGTTTTGTTTTGCTTTTCAATTAGACCCGCAGCGGACGTATCGGTCGAAATGGATAGTTTTTCGGTTGTAAAAAAATGGAAAAAAAAAAGATCGAGAACGAGTTTCGGGCTGATGACTATATTTAAAAGTAAAAAAAATATATAAAATGTACCTGACTAGATTTTCACCTGAACATGCGTCTGGAATTTCAAGCAGGCGTGTATGCGTGTATGTGCTCGCGCGCAAGCTCCGAAATCCGTCTAAATTTTCCTTTTTTGCTTGCTAGCTTGTGCTTTGCGCGCGAAAGCTAGAATTTTGCAGGCTGAAAAATCCGTATAAATCTCGGGGAAGGTGGATTTGTTTGTGTTGCCCGTTGGATTTTCTCCCCTGAGCTTTTTTCCGAAGATAGATTTTTGAGCCTGGCAATTTCTATTCGACAATTCCGCCGCGCGCGTGGTGCTTAGAGCGGGGCAGGAGTTTGTCGGCAATCCAGTCAGGTAATTTCACGTCGAAAACGAAAACGAAAAGAAAAAAATTAAATAAAACAAAAGGCAAGAGAAGAGAAATAAAGGAAAAATTAGGTGTCTTCGCGTTAAAGCCGCAGTGCAAAAGCCATGGGTGTTTCGTTACAGGTCTCGCACATATATAAATGTAAATGAGATACACCAGAGCGTATCTCTCGTCGAGCTTTGCGGGTGATTTCGGAGGGGGTTTTCGAAAAAATCCTCCCGAAAATTCAAGCCGCGAAACCCAATCTCTTAGTCGGATATAAAACAATACTGCAGTATACATAACGAATGTGTGTCTGTCTGTGTGAGCGTGTGTACATTCATGTATGTGTGTATTATATATATCGTGCGTGTGTGAGTACCGCCGCGCGGAGCAATTTATATAGTAAAGTCGAGCGACTGGCGTACGTCACTCGTATTCTATGTATACACGATATATCTATACGCGCACGTTGTATTTCCAATTCAATTGCCAGCGAGCGCGCAAGACCTTAATATATAGCCCCAGAAAGAGCAGCCGCTAATTTCCCCCGACGGCGCGTAGAGTAGTAGTAGTGGTAGTAGTAGTGGTATAAGCGAAAACTTGGGGTTTGGCTTCGTATTATATACGCGTGCGGAGAACTACGCGAACGCGAACGAAGAGAGATGTTATATTCTAACGTCTCGCGTCTCGGGTTTTGCGGCACTTAATACGTATACGCTGTACGCGTAATTGGCCTGCGTCCACTTTACCCGATGAAAAGAAAAAAGGAACAATTCGATAAACAAATTTAATTATATTCACCGCGTGTACGGACGGAGTGAAATATATCGGATGTATCATTTTTTGGGGGAGGAGCTTTTTTTCAGTGTGTGTATGTTTTTTTTTTTTTACCATAATGCAACGCGCGGTATATCGAAGTGGCGATCGAATTCTTTAGCGCGATGAATGATACTTGTGATGAGCGATGAATGGTCGATGGATGATGATTTTTCATTTTTTTTGGGTGAATGAAAATTGACTGTGATGACTTTTTTTTTGGCATGCAAATAAAAAGTATGAGCGAAAGCATGTTCGATTCGAGTTGAAATCAATTAATTTCATGCGCAGATCAATTATTCGAGTGAGTTTTTTTTTCGTTTATTGTACTAATTAATTTATCGATAGAAACATATTGCAGAAAGAAATTTAATAAAAAAGTAGTAATCAAGCTGTTGGGAAAACAGACGGAACAAAATGTATCATTATTAAACGTGTATCAAAACGAGACAAGGAGATCGGGATTTGCATTTTTACTGAGTAAGCGAGTGTACAGAAATTTTATTAACTTGAAATCTAATAATAAAACTTCGATAAGAAATCTTCTCTTTTATAGCAGATTGCTCGAGAGGCGCACAGCGGGGGTTCGTTGAACGCATCATCAGGACGGCACAATGGAAAAAGCTGTTAATTTTTTTTTTTTTTTTTTTTTCAAGTACAAACTNTTTTTTTTTTTTTTTGTTCAAGTACACAGAGGTATCATAAAGCAAATACTTAAACGAGTATTATGAGGACGTAACGAGCAAAATTGGGTGATATATCGATCATACTAGTAATAAATAACGTATTAATCGAGGTGAAGTATATAAGCTTGATAATATAAATTGAATAATTACTGTACAATAAAATACGAAAGAGATATATCTAGATATTATGTAATGTAAAATATTGATTGAATAGTAATGACAAAAAATGAAGGATTAATGAGATTGATAAAAGTGTTAGATTAAAAGGTGCTTGCAAAAGTATAAATTGTCTCTAATATTGATACAAAGTAGATCATAGCGATATATAAGAAAAAAAAAATATATCAAATGCTATTAAAATTGGCGTTAATATACTGTTTTGCAATTTAATTTTAATAGAGAAAGAAATTAATTTTTTGAGAAAACGATTAAATATGATAAAAAAAGTCAAGGCGCATACACACACATTATTACTGTTTTTTGGTGGGCACGATTATTATATCGATGATATAAACAAAACGAGAGGCGCTTGCTCGGCGCGATGCTCGGGCATAATTTTAAAAATTAATTTTTACATGAAATTTCATCAAAAGCACATGGCCACCGTTATAATAATCACGCCCGCTATTATCTCTCCCTCGCTACGTATCGAGCTCGCCCTTCGCAATCCCCCACTTTTCCGTGCGGCGGCGGTCGGCGGCGGCAATCGGTTGCGTGGATGGTTGCGTGGATGGTGTTTTTTCTTAATTTTTTTTTTTGTCTAAAATCGCTCTCGGATCTCGCTCTTGGAATATTTACCGCACTCTTTACCTGCAGTCCCCATATTGAGTATGCTGATCTCGCCGAAGTACGAGCCGGCCTTGAGGGTCGCGAGCACGGTCTTGCCGTTGTCGGCGACCACCTGCAGCCTGCCGCGATTCACTATGTACATCTCCTTGCCGACTTCGCCTGCGCACAGAAAAAAGAAGAGCAAAAAATGTATATATGGATAATCGGATTATCGATTGTAAATACAATATATGCGATCCGATCGGATCGGTATTAATACGCTTGATGATGTGCTAGTCTGTACGCGCGCGCGCGTCTAATTTGGAGAGAGACAGAGAGAGCTGGGATTACACACGCGACGGCGAATTTCAGGCACTCGTGGATTCTCTATGACGTCGTGGCGATGGCGGTGGTGGCGATGGTACACACACACTCAAACGCCCAACCACGCCGCGTATATGATACATTCGAACGCGTATCGAGTTATACGCGCCTGAATTCACCGGAGAATTTCATTTCGACTCTCGCGCGAGCACAAAGGGACTACTGCTGCGTGCGCCCGATAGTGTACATACAGATATATATCTGACGCACGCGGAGTTCCGATTGTCGAATCTATTCGTATAGGATACGAGAGCTCTGCGCGATGACAGCAGCGTCAAGCTAATCAAGTAGTAATGCCAAGCGAATAGTCAGACTCGACCGATGCGTATAACGTAATCCGTGCAGATCAAAAATCATTGTAAAGTAGTACGAGAGGAGAAATAAAAATGAAGTAGTGACCCAAACGTTACACGTATACGACGTATTATATAACGACAGTAGAGCAATGTTTATCCCGCGAGCTATCTCTCCCTCTCTCTGTGCACCGTGGCCGAAATGTATTATACATGTTGAGCGTGTGTTTCGGATCTCGCACGCGCTGCTGCAGTGTGCCCTTGTAGCCTCGCGGGCACGCGACGCGTTTAAAAGTCGACTCGAGATGTGTTTTCTCTTTCACGTATATACGGATGGGAGAATTGCCGGTGCTAAAAATGGGGTTAGGACAGACGTTTCAGTGTCTGTACTCGGGCTACGGTAAAATAATAAAAAAAGAAGGAGAAGAAAGAAAGAGGGCCGGAGATATGACGTTTTAGCAAAACGCATATATAAATGTATACGTATATATAAAAAAGCTCAAAAACAAGAGGAAAAGAAAGGGAGAGAAGAGAAGGGCGAAAGGGAAATGTTTTTCTCTTACTCACCGCGCACGTACAGCACGAGCGAAAGAGCATAAGATGATCCGCGCACGCGTATAGATACGTACACACAGAGGGAAAACGGCTGTACATATATTTATTTTTGCAAGTCGTATACACATCTGTATCCGATCTCCACGAGAGAGCCCAAGCGAAATTCTTTGACGTCTTATATATTATCGAACGACAAAAGCTCTTCGTGCTGCCTTCGCCTCGGTATAATATCGAGAGAGAGAGGCAAAAAATCGCTGGTGTAGTAGGAAAGTAAGAGGGAGGGAAAGAGTACCGAGAGAGGAGCTTCTAGATTACGATATAAAGAAAAATGCAAAAGAATGAGAGAGGTTGAGCAAGTATATATTGAGACTCGAAGATAAAAAAAAAGAAGAGAAAGAGAGAGGAAAGAAGAAGAAAAGAGTAGCTTTTCGGCAGGTTTACGCTTTGGCTTTCAGCTCACGTAAAAGTGCGCTGCTGTTACTGCAGTACCGCGTGCGCTTCTATCTCTCTCTCTCTCTCTCACTCGCCTCTATTTCGATTGTTCTTCATTGTCAGTATGAAAGAAGTAAGAGGAGGAAAAAAAAATATACGAGGGAAAGAGAGAGAGAGAGAAAGGAAAAGAAATCGAAGATACGTCTTACCTTTCCGGCATATGTAGTCGCCAGGTGAAAAGAGCACTGGGCGCAGCCTCAATACCAGCTCGCACAGAAAACCAGCCTCCGTGTTCTGGAATATCTCGACCCTCTTGAGCGTGTCCAAGTGTACGTTTATCGCTATTTCCGCTTTCAGTTTGTCTGCGACCAATCGAGAACAGAGAGAAAAGAGAATTAAAAAAACGAAAGAATCAATTAACATTATTATATTTCAATGGAAATGCTCCAAATTATAGTGATGGTTTGATGACTAAAAAGTGGCCATTTCAAATGTTTTGAAATATATAATTATTGATTTTTACATTAAAACTATGTTTAAAGTATCAAGCGCATTTTTAATGATTTCGAAAAATTTAGATTAGTTCTCAACAACTTTATATACGATAATATAACTTTGAGCCATCGCCGCTAGATGGCGAGTGCCTCTATATCCGTAAATCTGCAAGTGGTAAAGTGAAAATAATTATATAATGACAGCTGCTATATTATATTCTGATATCTTCTATTATGTGTTGCCAAGTGCAGAATGCCCACAAGCTCTGAATATGGTGAGAAATTAACTGAATAGAAGTCTAAGCTTTATGTCTAAACTAAAAAGTCTAAGCTAAGAGATTATGCTCGTCCGCAGTAATGCAGTCATTATGATTTTGTGCAAGAAACATTGTCATCGATCAAAATGTCGTAAAATTTTGATGATTTCTAGCGCGTTAACGAGTAAACGCGCTAACGTAACTCATATTTATACATTCTAAACAGTTGAATAGACAGCGACGAGAAAATTTTTACTCTCTCTCTCTCTCCTTTCATTTATCTTGCCGCTGCCGCCCGAGCGAGTATTTGATTCGGTAGCGTCGCGTCGGCAACGACGGCGATCTTTCTCGCCGCGATTCACTCGCTTGCAAGAAAACTTATATACATTTTTTCGCGCGCGCGATTCCTCTGTGTGCGGTTGTGCCGCTGCTATATACACTTTCCGCGTCAATGAGTGCACACGACCGCACAGAAGCAGTCTCGAGCTCTACACCTATTCCTATATATTAAAGCTCCTCGCGCGCGCGCGCTCGTAGCGATATCAAGAGCCAGGAGGAGAGAATTGAGCGCTCGCTCGCCGGGCGAACGGAAAAAATAAAAAAGAGAGGAAGAAAGAAGAAAAAAATACATAAAGTAGAAGAAGGAAAAAAAATGAGCGCCAGAGAGAGCTCGAAAAGAAAATGGGAAAATCGAATCTCGAGCGCGCGCGTGGCACGGCACGACCGCGCGAGAAGCTTTGTATACATTGTTCGTATTATATATATTATATAATATATTATATATTATATTGCGCTAGGACGTCGGCGAG